TCTGTAGATTGCTCTTGGCAATATGGTCATTTTCTTTTCTTTTTCCTTTTTTTTTATATTTTGAGATGGAGTCTCGCTCTGTCGCCCAGGCTGGAGTGCAATGGCGTGACCTTGGCACAGCGCAAGCTCTGCCTCGGCTCAGCGCAAGCTCTGCCTCCCAGGTTCACGCCATTCTCCTGCCTCAGCCTCCCAAGTAGCTGGGACAACAGGCGTCCACCACCATGCCCAGCTAATTTTTTGTATTTTTAGTAGAGACGGGGTTTTACCATGTTAGCCAGGATGGTCTCAATCTCCTGACCTCGTGATCTACCCACCTCAGCCTCCCAAAGTGCTGGGATTACAAGCACGAGCCACCACATCAGACCGCAGTACGGTCATTTTCACAATATTGATTCTACCAATCCATGAGCATGGGATGTATTTCCATTTGTTTGTGTTGTCTATGATTTCTTTCAGCTGTGTTTTGTAGCCGTGTTTTCCTTGTAGAGGTCTTTCATGTCCTTGGTTAGGTATATTCCTTAGTATTGTGTGTGTGTGTATATATATATATACACACACACACATACACATATATATAAATATATATATATTTTGCAGCTATTGTGAAAGGGATTGAGTTCTTGATTTGATTCTCAGCTTGGTTGCTGTTGGTGTACAACAGTAGCTCAACATTTATTAAGTGATCTTCTCTGTTTCTAGCACCATGTGAGGCACTGAGAAACTAAAGATGGATAACAAAGTCCTTATCAATAATTTCAATATAAGGTGAAGTGTGATTAGATAGTGTGCCCAAGGGACTCTGGGGGCCCCTTCTGAGACTTTCTGGGGAGAAGGAGGCCTGGGTCCCTCCAGAAAGATGAGTGAGAGTCAGGCTAAGTAAGGAGGGAATAACATCCCAGCCAGAGGGAATAATAGAAGAAAACATGAATGTGAGTGCCCATGGTAAGGTCAGGCATTGCTGTAAAGTGGGAGGTAAAACATGGTGAGAGATGCAACTGGAGATGTGGGTGGAGAAGGCAGGCTGTGGCAGGTTGGGAGCAGACAGAGGCACCAACTTCACTGTGTGGCCAATGGGCAAGCCTTGACGGGTTTTAAGAAACATGCAATGTGATCATGTCTGCATGTGGATGGCCCTCTGGAGGCTAGGCCCAAGCTGGATCAATGGGTAAGTCTAGAGAGAGAGAGAGAGAGCAGTGAGGAGGCAATTGCAATAGTCCAGGTGGGAGAGGATGAGGCCTAAGCTAGGCAGGAATGACAGCTAGAGTTGCCCCTGCAGAGTCCAACAGGGAGCATGCTCAGAACTCCCGCTGCCCACCTCACCTGGCACGGTGGGGATGTGTTACTGCTGCTGCCCCTCAGGCAGGGTGGCTTTCCCCACCTGTCTGGCTGAACAACAATTTTCCCTAAACTGTACTTAGGACTGTCGTGATATAAGAAAATGAAATTGCCTATAGGTGATTATAGGATTATCTGAAGGGCTCAGGGAAACCCAGGTATTTCTCAGTTTTCCAACCTGAGTGGCAAAGAGATCAGATGGCCCCTCTGGGAAGGTTTGCTGGATACTGCTGGGAGCTGGGAAGGATGAGGAGGGATGGCCATCCCCCTAGGCAGAGAGCTTCACATGCATCCTGTGAGAGTCACAAGGGCTGAGGGCACGCTCATGGAAGCAGATGGGCTTACCTCACAGCTCCTACTAACTCACCTGCCTGAGAGGTCAGGCACATCACTAAAAATAGCAAACCCCAATTACAGAGCACTTCCTAGGGCCCAGGCTGTCTTTCTCAAGGTGTTCCCATACACAGGATCACATATAATTACCACAAAAACGTTTACAAGTAGATCTGAGGGAAGGTGAATCAAATGGAAGAGTCAGTTCCTGGCTCTGAGGGAAGGCTGGGAACATGGACAAAGAAATTTCTGCTCTGGGACTTCTGGGCCCCTTCCCTCTAGTGTAAACAGACCAGGAGTGCAGACAGGGTTGGGGTGACCAGTGGGCTGGCGCTTTCTAACCTATTTCTGAAAACGAGAAGGAGAGGTGCCCAAAGCACAAGCATATCGAAGTACAAAGAGGGCCAGTTACGGCTTTGGTCTCTTCCCTCTCTCCATCTTCTGCCATTCTTCTGCTACCTCCCACCTCCTCTCTCCTTCTCTTCTTTCTTATATCCACAATATATCTGGCATCATCTATCTACTTTCAAAAACTCCATGCAGTCGGGCCCACCTGTGCAGCCCCCATCTATCCAGATGCTGAGCAAAAGGATGTCTTCTCCCCATCCCTCCCTCCATCAAAACTTTCACACCCCCAGAGCCTGGAAAGCAATCTCTATTAACCAGCTCACACTCAGGTATGTGTAACAGAAAAATCACCCTTAAATTTCCACCCTTACATTTGCTCACTGAGCCAAATTATTAATTGGGACTAACTAATTGCAGAGGTTTCTTTTAACAGACACTTGTTGCGAGTCTGCCTTGTGTCAGGTTCTGTGCTGGGGGCATGGAGGGACACAGGTGAGCCGTAGGATTTCACGCTTTAGTTGAGAAGCAAGACAGGAACACAAATGACAATGTAATCAATGTAATCAATGTCACAGAGAGGTACAGGTCTTTATTAATATTGGGGTGTGGGAAATGAGGAAAGGCCTCATGGAACTCAACTATGTGAGTGGGGCCTTGAAAGACTAGCAGGAAAAGTATGTATGGATGCAGGGAAGAGGGCTGTCAGGCATTTCAGACAATAGTAGCATGTGTCAGGAGGTGGACCTGGAACAAGTACCCAGAAGACAACAGGTTATCCCAAAGTGTGAGGAAGATGCTTCTGCTCAAAGAAGGCAGAGAAAGGGGTTCCTTTAAATCTCGTCCCTCACTTCCTTCCTGCAGGAGACAAACTCAAGGTCTGCAATGATTTTTCTTCCCTCCTCACAGGATTTCCCACCCACCCCAGTCCCTCCCTCACTGGACGAAGGGGCTGGACAAGCTGTCTTGTCTTTCCCCCATCTTGACTGAGGGCTTGCTTTGAACCATCTCCCAGCAACCCAGCTCCCATCTGACTCTCCAGCTTTGTGGGCAGACCCACCTGTCATCAGCTCTGTCCAAGTGCAGGTGACAGACCTGGGGGGCTCTATGGGGTCTCAGAGCAACACCCCAACTTTTCTCAATGGCTCCTTTCCTTCCCCCTGGTAAGACCCTCCCAACTACTTGGTTTCTATAACTGTAATAATAGTCCTCCCTCTGAATAGCTTACCCACTATTTATGCCTAATTACCATGTAGCACAATAATGATTATGTATAGCACTAAATGTGTCAGATTAACTTTGCTCGAAGTTTTGCTTCATTACAACACCAAACTTGATTCATGTGCATTGAGTATTTAACCTCTCTGGGCTTCAACTCCCACATATGCAAAATGATGGGTAGGGATTATTTCAGTGCTTCCCCCGCTGCCTGGTGTTCAGAATCATTGGCTGACATTTTAGAAATACAGAGGGCTAACCCTGACCCCCTAAATTATAATGTAATAGTTCTGGCATTGGGCCCCAATATCTGTATTTTTCTTTTAGTTTCCCAGGGATTTCTATTGCATCCAATCCAAAGATTAGCATATGGGAAACTCTCGAGTAAGTCATCCCTGCCATCCTTTCCAAACCTCATTGATTCATTCATTGATTCATTCACTGGGAGAGGAAAGTACCAGCAATGAGGCTGGAGAGAGGCAAGGATGGATGTGGTGTTAGCATGATTAGAATTTATCTCAAAGGCAACAGGAAAGACTTTAAAGGGGAGTAAGTAGGATGACATCATCAGGTTTATGTTTAAGAGGCAGCATTGTTTTGCAGTGTGGAACATGGGCTGGAGTAAGGACAGCAGCACAAGAAGGCTTCATAATCATCTACATGGGACAGGATGATGGCTGGATTGGAGTAGTGACAGTGGGGGTGGAGTGAGTGGGTGGATCTGTGTAGCATTCAGAAAGTAGAATAAGCAGAGCTCGGTTTTATTTTTACCTTTGGATCCGGAATATGGTGAATCGTTTCGCTGCACCACCTCTGTCCCCTTCCTATACTGTAGAATTCCTGTGTGGGCCTTGGTGGCAGGCAGAGCCCTCACCCCACTGAAAGGTGCAGCTCATAGCCCAGCTCAACCAATGAGTGGCAGCTGCCTCAGATTTTGACTGAGGAGCTAGTGAATCAGAGAAGCAAGGACACTGGAGAATCAATCCTAGAGGTGGTACCAGTAGCCACAACTTTCAGTTTTCCAGGGACAGCATAACAGGGTGCCAGGGGGATGCCAGTGTCTGGTACAGCCAAGGTGGAGATGCCATCTGGTGCCCTGTATTTAGCTATGATAGCTGAGTTCTCACTGGACTGTTGCTCCAGCTTGATTTTGGTTGAAAGTCTAACAGTAGCTAGCTTTATTTTTCCTGCCTGTTTTACAAGTCTGGTTCTCTAATCTCTATGATTCTGTGAGATACTACAATATTTTCCATGAATTCCTTTTCTGCTTAAACTATCAGAATTGTTTGTTTCTCACATCTGTGTTCCCGACTGCTACCCTGATTGTGTTGGAGGAAGAGGGGGTGTGAGTAGTTGGATGGTGTGGTCCTCAGAGATGAGAAACACAGGCACAGGGTCAGGTGTGAGCAGAAGAACCCCAAGTGCTGCTGGTTATAGACTAAAGATACCGTTGCTCCTTATTCACTCACCCTCAATAAAAAAGGAGCTGAGACTGAGTTTTTCTTCTCCATTGAGAGCTTTCTTTGAACTGCACAACTCCATTCAAAACCTGAATGGGTGAATGGTCCTTGCATTTGCAGACTACCTGAAATCCATCATCCTAGTTTCATTGCCTGCTCTCATCTTCATAACCTTCTCAGTGTCTCCCCAAATTAACAACATTCTTGCCATCACAAGGCTATTGGAAGGTAAATAAGATCGCAGACAAGAAAGTGCTTTATCACCTATGGAAAGGACTGAAGAACTTCAAGGCAGTAGATTGTACTTACCTAAATACAACTTCAGAAGTTACACGTAGATTGTTTTCTAACTTCAGTCACTTTCCAACCTATTTACTTGGTAGTTCACAAGATGTTTTCTTTTGTTTTCACATAGATTGGCAACTGCAGTAACCACTGAAACACAAAATTTTTTTTTTTTTTGACAGAGTTTCACTCTTGTTGCCCAGGCTGAAGTGCAATGGCATGGTCTCGGCTCACTGCAACCTCCACCTCCCGGTTCAAGTGATCATCCTGCCTCACTCTCCCAAGTAGCTGGGATTACAGGCGCCCACCACCATGCCCAGCTAATTTATTTATTTTTAGTAGGGATAGGGTTTCACCATGTTGGTCAGGCTGGTCTCGAACTCCTGACCTCAGGAGATCCACCCACCTACCTTGGCTTGTAATGCTGGGATTACAAGCGTGAGCCACTGCACATTTTAAGTGCACAGTTCAGTAGCATTAAGTACATTCATATTGTTGTATAAGCATCGCTACCACTCCACTTTAGAGCCAGCCTCGGTCTCCCAAAGTACTGGGATTACAGCCATGAGCCACCGTGCATTTTAAGTGCATAGTTCAGTAGCATTAAGTACATTCACATTGTGTGTAAGCATCACCACCACTCCACTTTAGACCTTTCTCCATGTTCTCATACCAAAACCCCATACCCATCAAATATGTCCCCATTTGTCCCTGCCTCCAGCCTCTGGCCACCACCAATTCACTCTCTGTCTCTGTGGATTGACTCTAGGTACCTCATATAAGTGGCATCGTATAGTATATGTCCTTTTGTAACTGGCTTATTTCACTTGGCACAATGTCTTTGAGGTTCCATGTGGTAGCAGGTGTGAGAATTTCTCTCCTTTGTTAAGGCCTAATAATATTCCTTTGCATGTAAATACCACATCTTGTTTACCCATGTTGATGGACACATGGCTTGTTTCACCTTTTGGCTATTGTGCATAATGCTGCTATGAACATAGGTGTGAAAACGAGGTGTATATTTTTATGACCTCTTCCCTTCAAGCAGTGAAATTTCCAATATGAATAATTGCACTCTGAGTTATCTGTTCTGTAACTCTGAAGAACTGTGTAATAGAATTTCTGAAAGTGAGTCACCCCTGTATTCTCTTTACTCTTTCAAAATAGGAAGCAGCAAAGAATAAATGTCCATTTCACACTGAGGTGGCAAGGCCCATTAGAGTCTACCAGTGAGGAAATCATTTTCTAAGGGTGATTACACACGCAGATGTCAAAACCCTCAGGTAACTCTCTGCTCTCCTACCTTGGCTGGATAGTGCCCTGAACTTCTGTCATTCTCAGAAGATTCTCCCCTTCCCACCCTTCTCTGGAGTCTACCATCTCGACTACCGTCAGCCCCTGCCCTAGATTATTCTGCATGGGGCTGTGGATCCCTCAATAACAACAATATCCAAGAATTCCACACTTCTCTAAGGTTTTCTGCATTCAAGGGATGCAATAAAGTACAAAAAAGATGATTTTTTTTTTGCCCTGTACTTCCTTTGACCCAGATGGATTGCTGTTCTACTGCTCCCCAGTCATTTGCAAATGGCACAAGAACTAAGACAAAAGAAGAGGATGAGAAAAGAGAAATTCCCAGAGCTTGGAAATGGGGGCTCAGTCTTTATCTGCAAAGTGGGTTAAGAAATGGAGAACTGTAATACCATATAGAAGGTGTCTGTATTTCCTGTGTCACTTCTCCAGTTAAAGTTTTCTGTAAGGGGGGGAAGACTCATGGAACAAACATCAACATCTGTGGGTTGTCGTTCCTACTTATTCTTCATGATAGCACTGTAATGTGGCTCTCTATCCCCATTTCACAATCCAGGAAACTGAGCCCCAGAGCCATTCAGAATTTCCCAAGGTTGTGGAGTTTAGATGGGAACAAACTTCTGTGTGACTCCAGTGTTGCTACTGACATGACCCTGCTCTGCCTTCCCCACCTTTCAGATTTCCCTTGTTTTCTGTGAGATGATTTTTAGAAGGGGACAGTGACAGTCTGTTCTCTCTGGGGGTACATCAGTTTGAAGAAGATCAGCAAGGGACCTCCCTTTCCAAGCTGCAGTGAGCAGTTCTTGGAGCACAGGAGGAAGTTCTAGCTCTCTCTATTCTCTGTTGGCATCCTCCTTTGTTTCCTCATTACAATGGGCCAACAAAATCCCCATCTGTCCCTTACCCGTCTCCTAGCCTTGCCTGAATGTCTTTGTCCCCCCAAATTCATATGTTGAAATCCTAAGCCCCAGGATTATAAAATTAGAAAGTGAGCCTGTAATCCCAGCACTTTGAGAAGCCGAGGCAGGTGGATCACCTGAGGTCAGGAGTTCGAAACCAGCTTGAGCAACATGGAGAAACCCCATCTCTACTAAAAATACAAAATTATCTGGGCATGGTGGCGCATACCTGTAATCCCAGCTACTCGGGAGACTGAGGCAGAAGAATTGCTTGAACCCGGGAGGCGGAGGTTGTGGTGAGCCAAGATCGCACTATTGCACTCCAGCCTGGGCAACAAGAGCAAAACTCCATCAAAAAAAAAAAAAAAGGAAAGTGAGGCCTTTGGGCAGTGATGAAGCCATGAGGACAGAAGGAGACAGAACCCTCATAAATGGGATGGATGAGTGCTCTTGTAAAAGAGGCCCAAGGGCACTCATTCACCCCTATCCACCGTGTGTGACACAGTGAGAAAGTGCCATCTATGAAACAGAAAGCTGGATTTCGCCAGATGCCAACTCTGCCAGCACCTTAATATTGGACTTCCCAGCCTCCAGAACTGTGAGAAATAAATTCTGTTTGTAAGCCACACGGTTTATGGTATTTTGTTATATTAACAGCATCCCAGATGGACTAAGAGAACCCCTAATATCCATTACTACTCATTTCCTTACAATTTTCAACAATGAAAAGGATAGAAATAAATGAAAGATTTAGGAGGTATATCAGGTGGAACTTCCTGACTCCGAGGAGGTAAGGAATTCAAAGAGGCTGCTGTAGATCCTTTTTCAGGAAAGCTATAAGGCAAAGGGACACCCTGCCCCCACACCGCCCACTTGGACTGGGCACACTCCTGCCTAGAGGCAGGGGGAGGCACCAAATGACCTCCAGAGGGCCCTGCTAGCCCAGGAAGCTGGGAGCTTCTGGTGCAGCCGCTGCTTGGCTGCAGATGTTCCCTGTCATCAATCACACAGTGCATCTGTTTGCTGCGCCGCTTGTTTAAAGAGTGAGGCGTTTGCTAATTGAAAACTAAAAGATCCATCTGTCTCACTTACAGCCAGCATGAAATCCATGCAACCATGTAAGATTGGGGCAAAAAAAGCAGCACAGAGCTACAGTGTCCTTGGGTGGGTGCATCTTATGGAGCTCATCTTCTTCCTGCTTCTGCCTCCTGATGAACAAGGCTCCCCTCCCCACCCCAGAGCAGCCAGGGATGGCCCATATTACCATTGTCTAACATGTCCTCATCTATTTTTCTCAGTAAAGCCCAGAGAGATCGTTATTTTTAGTTCCCACTTAAAAATGGAGAAACTGAGGCTTCGCGAGATCAGACAATTTGGGCAAGCCCACACAACGGGTAGGTGACCAAGGCAGAACACCAATCCAGGTGCTCTGGCTAGTCTGACCCATCCCTGAACCTATGTAGAGGAGCTGAGTTGGGAGGTACCAAGTATCCCCTTAAGTGGATTAAACCTAGGAGAGAATGGCCCAAGGATATACAAGGGAAACACTGGGATGGCAACCATATCTGTAATGTCTGGTCCCTTAAAGGCAAGTATGGCAACATTCTAGGACTCCTATTGATGTAATATCTCCCTATAGAGCCTGCAGGCAAGTGGAGGCCAGTCCAGATCAGCAAGATCCAGGGGCAGGAAGAGTCATGGTGGGGTGAGGTGGGAGCCCACAGCTTCCTCTGCCCCAGTGCCTCCAGAGATGGCTGCGTTTGAGAGAGGTGCTGTTTTGTGGCTCTGGAGAGGGCGACGGTTCAGTGCTAGACTCCGTGGGATTTGAAAGGGCACTCCATGTCTCTGGGACTCAGTTCTCCCTTCTGAGGTGAGAAGGAATTAGATGAATGCTAAGGTCCTTTCCAGCCCTCACTTTCTGTAATTGTGTGTGTCATTGGAGGAAATGCTGAGATGAAGTTAGTCCTTGTGGCCCAGGATGGCTCAACTCCAGCCATGCAGGGCCGACTCCCTGCTCTGCAGAGTCAGTCTGCTGCCCCTGCTCTTCCCTCTCCCTGGAGTGCTGTGCCATCTTCTCCCCTTGGTAACTGGTGTTGCTCCTTCAATGCCGGGTTCCTGTGAAGTCTTGCTTTTTTGTGCTTCACAGCACCTGTTTAAGCCTCAGTTATTTCCCTGGGGGTCTCCTCTCTGGATTGGCAGGGTGCGGGATCAGGGGCCTGGTTTTCTTTCTGTCTGTGACTTCTGAATCTGACATAGAGTCTGGCAAATTGAGGACAGTTGGTAACTAATTGCTGCAGAAGAAAAGAAAGAAAGAAAGAAAGAAAGAAAGAAAGAAAGAAAGAAAGAAAGAAAGAAAGAAAGAAAGAGAAAAGAAGGAAAGAAAGAAAGAAAGAGGAAGGAAGGAAGGAAGGAAGAAAAGAAAGAAAGAAAGAAAGAAAGAAAGAAAGAAAGAAAGAAAAGAAAGAAAGAAAAAATGGAGAGAGGAAGAAAAGGGGAGAAGAACGAGGTTCCTCTGCAGCCCGAATGACAGTGGGCAGGGTAGCAGTGGAACACCCTTCACCACTCTATATCTTTCTCCCTCTCCCCACTCCCTGCTTCACACACCTCAGTTTGGAGTCAGAGGTGAGCTGGAACCCCTGAGGCCTCCTTTTGCATTTCCATCTCAGGTCAACTCCAAACAGGCTTTTTCCTTTGGATGAGTCCAGCAATGGAACTGACTACATAGATTACAAGACCTGAAGTCAGAAAACGGATGCGGACCTCTTCCGACACCTCCTCTCCTTGCCTGACTTGCTGGATGGGTGGTGCCTCCCGCAACCCTTGGCTTCCGAGTCCTCAAAGGAGAAGACTGGCGAGCAGACGGTGAGGACCCAGCCTGCAATCACAGCGTGTTATTGTGGGTGGGAGCGCAGTGGGCGGTCGAGGGTTGCGTTCCCGCCTCAAAACAAGGGATGGCGGAATCCCCCAACCCCTCCTACCCGCCCCAGGCCGGGGAGCGCCGAGGAGTCACAGCTCGTTCGGTGGGGGGCGGGGGCGGGGGCGGGGCCTGTGTCAGGGGCGGGGCCCCGCGCACCTCCCCCCCGCGCTCCTCGTGCTCCCAGCGCTCGGGTGCCGCGGAGCTGTCCAGCTTCAGTGCCGAGCCGGCAGCCTCCCGCGCGCACCGCGCCGCCTCCGCGCCGTCCCCGCGCTCCCTCCTGCCCGCCCGCTCCGCGCCCGGCCCCGCCCCGCCCCGCCCCGCCGCGGCCCGTCCACTGCTCCCCGCGGGCCAGAGCCGGCCGAGCGGCTGCCCGCCGGGGCTCTGAACGGCGCGGCGGGGCCGGGAGCCAGGGACCCGCCGAGGAGAGTGGCGGCCCCGGACGGCTGCCGGAGGGGCGGCCGCGCGTGGATGCGGCGGGAGCTGGAAGCCTCGAGCAGCCGGCGCCGTCTCTGCCCCGGGGCGCCCTATGGCTTGAAGGTAAGCACCGGCCGGATAGAGCGGCGGGAGACTCAGGGTCACGGGGAGAGGAGGAGGGAGCTCCAAGGGCAGCGCGGCCGGGACCAGAAGTTTGTGCCGCCACTCCCGGCCGCCTGCTTGGGAGCGCCCGCCTGGGGTCCGGCTCTGCACGGGCTCCCCGTCGGGCGGGGGCGGAGGGCGTCCGGAGTCCGCGGCGCCTATCCCCTCTCCCTCCTTCTCAGTAGCCTCCTCGCCACCTAGAAGGGAATCCTCTCCCCGGGCACGAGCGGGCGCAGCTGGGGCAGCCTCCCCGCGGGGCGCCCAGGGCAGCACGGCCGAGCCGCGGCATCGGAGGGTGGCCGCTTCCCACAATCTCGGAAGGGCACTTCCCCCAGCACCCAAGCGCGAGACTCGGGGCTCGCGGCCAGAGTTTCCGACTTCTTCCGGAGGAAGAAGGGCTGTTTTTGGCAACTATGTGTTGGTGCGACCTGACCCTTTTCAGTTTCTAAGGCAGAAGCTAAGGATGGGGGAGAGGCAGTTTCTGGCTGGATTCTCCCGCGCCCAGGTTGCCGCTGTCCTTGGTCCTGAACTTTCGCTCTCCTTCGTCTTCTCGGATTGACACCTAATCGGGGAGGGAGGCTTGGGTGCCAGACCCGTTTCGACCCAGGAGTGCAGGCGACGGTGGCGGCAGTAGCGGAGGGTGACCACCCGGCTCTCGGCCCGGCTCTCTGATGGACCGAGAGCCCCTCTAGGGTGGTATGCGGAAACAAGAGGCAGCTCTAAGCACCAGACAGAGCGCGTTCCTATACCTGTCTGAGGCGGGCAGCCCTTGAGCGCTTCCTCTTGAAGAGTAGAGGTAAGAGGGTGCGTGTGCGTCTACATAACAGGCTTCACCATGGACACAAGTCACAGCACTGCAGCTCCGTGGGGACAGGCACTTGCTCTCAGCCACAAGGAAGCTGTCTGAGCAAGTCACTGTTGCCCCACCTGGCACCCCACTACTTTTCGTTCTGGGGCTCCTGAGGTTGGGTGAGGGGGTGATGGAGTGAGGTGCGAGGCACTTTGTGGATCCCACTCCAGATCCTTCTGCAGATCCAAGCCTTTCTGGATTTTGACCAGGCTACAAACCTTTTAGGCTAATCTTTGCTCCTCCTTAGGGAGCTAGATGTTCAATGATTCTCCCCACTCCCACCCTGCTTCAAATGCAAATATGCATGCTTATCTCTGATTCATCCTGCAGCATTAGGACCACTTGAAAAAGAAATCATACTTATCGTCTTTCCCCCATGCAGCTGTTTGATGAGGGTGGGCAGATAGAGAGACTGGTCAGCGTGACCAGTTTCAAGAAAATCAGCAAGCTGGTTTCCTAGGTTCCAGTTCCTGCCTTGGACTTCCCTCCCTAGTGTTCAAAATTCCTGAATTATTTGTTTGCAGGGGTTTTTGATGCCATCTCTGAATGCAGACATCTGACAGGGAAGTGGTTTGGGAGGGCCAGGGTAGTCCCAGCTCTTAAAGATCATTGAGTTCCTTCTACCTTCCCTGCACAGCCTGAGGTGCCCAGAAAATGGAGAGGTTCTGATTTGTTGTAGAAGTCTGGGTAGCATTTCTCTAAGGTTTTTTTTTTTTTTCTTTTTAATGAATTCCCTGAGAAACTGGTTAAAAACGCATATTTTTGCTTCTTCCTTGAAAAACTGCTGAATGAGAATCTCAAGCTGAGGCCCAGGAAATTTGTATTTTAACAATGTTTCTGGGTGATTCATAGGTACACTGAATTAGCAAATTACCTCCCCAAAAGTTGAGACTCCTTAGAGAGTCTGTATACATTTATTTTATTTTGAAAATGGAAAGCAAGTTTATTTTACATAAACTTGGTAGCAGGTATTCTATCTGAGAAAATCCCTTGAAGATACAAAAAATGTGTTTTTAAGAGTTAAAAGAATCATATTCCTTGGCAACCATTTGGTGATATCTAATATATTCCTAAATTTCATACGTTTGAAATTTATAAAATTAAGGTATTTAATCTCACCCTTTGTCTCCTGCTGTTATACTTGTTAAATTCTTCAAGCGTGAGACTCTTGGTAGAAGGACCATCCCCCTGATTAAATCTCTTTACTGAAAGTAAGGATGCAATCCAATCTCCTCTCCCCCAGTATCTTCATGGGCTTTTCTTCTTTCTAAAATTTTTGGCCCTTTTAAGGAATCACCAATATGGCTTCAGGTTGACTTATGTAAATACTAACTGTCCCTCTCTGGGGGTCAACTCAGTGTTTCCCTCCTGCCCTCCCCTCTGGGTGAGTTATTGTCTTTCATTATGCATGTGCTGTGATCTGTTAACCTAAGTGCTCCTGAAATGCCAAGGAGTGATTAGTTCAGCCTAGTAGCACGTCATGCTCCCCAAGGCTTGTAGCCACTCATGCCCTGCTGGAAGTGACATATTGACTGTATTGATTTGGTTCTTGTGCTCCATAAGCAAGGAGGCTTGTAGGGGTAAAAAGGCTAGTAATGATGCTTGTGGGCTAGTCAGTCTTGTACCTTCACCTACAAGGGTAGATTATTTCTGTCTAGAAAATGCAATTATCTTGAGAATGATATAGGAGAATCTGAAATTGAGAGAACCCTTCTGTTCTTTCTTTTATACTATGGGAAACAAATGGGAACTTAGGGTCATTAGAAATATGGCCTCATATACTCCTGAGATTGTCCTGCTGAAGCCAGACAGGTCTGGGGTCACCATTCTCTGAATAAACAAGTGTAAGGGGAAAGATGTGGGGACTCTGCCTGGAGAGAGTGGTTTCCATCTCCCCTGCAAGTAAAAGTTACATTTTAGTGTTAAGGAAAAAGTGTGACTGTGAAGATAGCACTGTGTATATGTGTGTGTCTTTGTGTGTGTTTGCATACACGTGCATGCACACATGTGAGCACATCGCCCAGGAGAGACAGATATGATGAGACTCCCTTGAGCCAATCCTGTGTTGGCACCCATCACTTCTCCCTCCTTTGTGGCTTAATACCTATGAATCTCCAGCAGTGAAGGTGCTTCAACACCTAGGAAGGGAGGAGAATCAAGTTGAGGTTTTATAATGCCAGAACCCTAAGCCATATTTGCAATATCTCCCAGAATCAGGTTGTACATCAGCAGGTTACAGTTACCTAAGAGTTGAGGTCTTGAAAATAGCTTAGAACAGCAGCCCAGTCATTTGCATTTTCCTGGGATATAGTTTACAAGACTTTCGATTCTTAGATTATCTTCTTGGGCTCCTCAGAGGTCATGCTGGATGCCCCTGACTCCAAACAGGGAAGCTGTTTCCTTAGTCCACAAATACAGTGGTCTTTCTTCTTTTATTAACATTCTCCTAAATAGAAGTGTGTAAATTTTCCACTTTCTGGACACCAGGATTGGAGTTAGCAACCGAAGCTTCTCCATCCTATCAGGTATTCTACTTAGCAGAGGAGCATCCTGCATATAGGAAACACTTGGAAACCATGGGCAGCAGAAAGGCAGGTTGATTCAACTTCTCAGCAGGCAGCCTCCTTTGTAGGTAGCCTCTTACTTAGCTAAACTCCGGCACCATGTTCCCTCCTCTCACCTCCAGTAAGGCATTTTGTGGCCCTGGGAGGACCTTGGAATTAGGTATAAGCCCTTCTGCTCTCCAAAATATACCATGGAGCCACTAAGGATGTGCAAATTGCTTATTTACCAATTTGAGCCGTAGACTAATGTTAACTCTGGCCTTTTAAATTACTCTAATGGTGTTGGAATCTAATATTAATATACTTTTGCCTCTCACCTGTTCCCATCACCAATGTAATTGAAGATTTATTTCCTCTGTACTAAAATGGATGCAAAACTTTCTTATTTTTTAACAATAAAATCATATTATCTAAATGCATAGGCTTGGAAAATAGCTTGATTATAGTGTCAGTACATGGGGATGGAGGAGTAATAAAACTATAAGACTCAGCCACTTGGTTTGCTTTGATTTGGGTTCAGAGAAAGGAGAGAAATTTGCCCTCAGAATTGCAGATTTTTCTTTTCTTTTTCCTTTCACCTTAATCTGGTAAATGGGTTAAGTCAACACCCTCGGCAGCTGGGATGCCCTTGGAAGGCGCAGCCTCTTCTCTCCCTAGGATACATGAGAGTGTTTCGCTGCAGAGGGATCAATGACCCTCCAGTGTGGCTCCAGTGTATAGGGAGGAGCCAGAGATGACACACTGGGGTCTGAGGCCTCCCTCTTCCCCTGGATAGAAGAAACTGCTGCTGCAGTGCTTCGAACTCAGAGGCCTGAAAGCTGCTAGGAGCATTTGGGAGAGTATGGGGCAGTGTACAGAGGTGAGAGCAGAGGAGAAGTAGACTCTTAGGAGGCCCTGAAAGAGGCTGATGTTAAATATGTATTGAATCTAGGCATCAGCTTAGTGTAGTTTGGGCAATTTTGTCATAATCTGATGTCACCTGTAAGGATTTTTACTTTTTCCAGGAGGAGACGAGGAAATTCTTTGCTGTGTGAAGGGACAGGGAGGGGAAAGAGGGACAACCTCTGGTTTCCCCTGCAGCCCTCTAGGTAATGTCAGCT